ACAACTATATGCCGAGCACTGTGAATCCTTCTAATGAATCACTAGACCTGGAGGTAGTCTGGAGGACACCAGCACAGCTTTTCTATGATCTGGAATAACTATATTTAAATATATTGTCTATGTTAAGTTGGATCTTTACATAGTGTAAGAAAAAGAAAAAAAACAGAAAGCTACATCTTTAGTGCAGTGACACTGTTAATGTTCTATGGCTTACTACTATTTTTCAACTTTGAGTTCTGGATTGTGTTCATACAAGTACTCATGTGTATGCTCTGGTTATTTTACAATCTCAAATCTCAGTCTTTCTTTCTGGTTCTCTAAAGCCCAGATTTTATGACCTGAGAACCATCTGTTTTAAAATTAGTTTCATCTGAATAGTGAGTTTACTAAGAGTGTATTAGTCTGTCTAGATTTATCATGCTGTAAGGCACATAAAATTTTGACCACAGAAATACTGAGAACATATCTATGAGTCTGTCTTTCCCCCTGTTTCCTACACTGGTAGTTTATTGTTTTTCTTAACGTCTAATTATTTGTAAGATTTTATTGTGTTACTCTCATAAAGCTAGTATTTTTTTTTAAACTTAGCTCCTCTTATTAATCTAATATTAGAAAATGTATATAACCAGAGAATTAATATTTTTTTGACATGGCAAAATATTTAATGTCTTATAGATGTGCCTCCCCTCCCCTAATTCCTGTTATGATTTGACAGCCTTCCCAAAATGACTGTTCCAGAGAAAACATGGGCACTTATCCCCGGCATTAATGGTTTTTCTTAAAACCATTAAGGGCCAAGTTCTCTTGATTTGGATATGATTGCACGTTGAGCTCCCTCCACAGCAGGCTTCAGGCTTCTCTATTCAAGGGGGAAAGACCCCCCAGTTCTATAGGACTCCTGAGGTCTTCAGTTCTCCTGTGGCCTGGCACAGGGAGCTACACTGCTGGAAATAGTGGTAGGCTCGGACACTGCCGAGGTAGCCCTTATACACAGTGAGGAGCATCATGGAGGTGGAGAAGGTCTTGTAGCCAGTGTCAGCTAGTTGCTTGGCAGTTGGCATGTCATCCCCTTCTAGGATTCAGCTCCCATGGTGAGAGAGTGCACCTTGCTCAGGACACAGCACAGCTCCACCCCCTGAAGCAGGAGCCCTAGCCACCCACCAGCCCAGCTGGTTGCTGTCCTTCGAGAATTCATCTTTTTAACTTTTGCTTTCCGTTTGCTGCTACTAACTTTAAAATTGTAGGTCTGATTCCCCCCCCTCCCCCTGAATGTATTTCTTGAGATTTTATAAAAAAAAATTCTAGACTTTGTTTACTATTTTTGTTGTAGATTACTCCTCTGTCACATTTTGTGTATCTTTTTTCTGTCTCTATAGATAACACATCTATTTTGTGTTTCATTAGTGACTCATTAAATATTTTATTTTAAAGCACTGTGTTTGATTTATTCCAGTTTAACCTTGTGATTTTTTTTAAAGGATTGTTTATATTGTTTAGACATTGTTTCAGGTTATAATTCAGTATCTTTAACCCATTAGAACTTTTTAATCAGATGCTCTGTTGTCATTGTTTCTTTTCTAAATATCACAGTTCTTTTTCTATTCATCCATGCCAAGAATTTGCCTACTCACATAGTAACAGCTACATATGGTTTTTTCTTTTAATATGTTAAATTCAGTTTTATTATTCCTTTAGGTCAAGAAGAGAATAGATTAAATGTTGTAGTAACAGGAATCGGAAGAACATTTAGTAACTTTACTGGTAATCAACTCTGTGATACTGGGGAATGTTTTCTTTTCAGTTATTAATGCATATCATCTCCCTTTTCTGGTTTTCATTGAATTGCAAGATTATTGGCTCTTTTTTTTCTTCTCTTCTCTTTTATCTTTCTAGATATTAGGACAAAGTTTTTACATTTGATCTTGTGTCTACCTGGAAAGCATCCAGTCCCTGATATTTTATGTAAGCATTTGACAGCTAATGTGGAGTGGCAGAGACTGGGAAGAGCTAGAAAATAAGTTTCATCTACAGAAATTCAGATAGAAAATCTTCAAATGCTCTGCAAACTAAACAAAACAGTAGTGCGCATCAGATCAGACCTAGGGATAGTGTGTGATCTCTAGGTTAAATATTCATATCTTCACTCATCTGCTCAAGACAGTGAATATTTATACAGCTTCTCATCCAACTCAGCTATATTTTTTTAGCTAAAAATATATTTCAACTTACTTTCAGAAGTTACATTACTTACATTAGCAGTCAAATGACCAAATTAGAAAGGTATGTCCTTTTTTAAAAAATTGTTTACAAAGGATTATTGATGTGCAAGTTTCATGCCTTCTTTCTGAAATATTCATATAACCATCTTTTTAAGAAGTATAAACTTGCTTTCTTTCAACTTTTCTGTGTGCCTAAAACTGCTCTAAAAAATAAAGTTTATTAAAACATTTTTTATTAGAAACTTCTATACAAAATAAGTAATTTTGATCTTGTTCAGTTGTAGAATACCTTTTTTTAATTCTTTTTTGTTGTTAAACTGATTTTTTTTTTCCTTAAAGCCATAATGAATATGCAGTAATAGAAACTTAGGAAATTCTACTTTCATAATGGTTTGGATCAAACCATTTAGAACTTCCTTGCTCCCTTTCATATATCTGCTGGATTGCTTGCACTTCTGATTTTTCATTTTGTTTTGTTTTTAACTTTCAGTTAGTTTTCAAAACTTAAAGTAACATATTTAAAGCAGTTAATTACCAACAACACTTATTATTTCTCTAAGTTTGGATTTACAATTTTGGTGTTGATTGTGATGACTTTATCTCCATTTATGTCAGATTGCTCTTTTTCTGTTTTTTTTTTTTAATTAATTTGTTTTTGTTACAGATGTTTCTCCTTTTTCCCCTATTGACACCCTTCTTCCCATTTCCCCTGCCCCATCCCCAACTTTGTTGTCTATGTCCATTGGTTATACATATAAGTTCTGTGGTTTATCTCTTCCCCCCAACACCCTCTCTTCTAAGGTTTGGCAGTCTGTACCCTACTTCTATGTCTCTGGGTCAATTTTGTTTATCAGTTTATTTACTTCATTATATTCCACAAATAAGTGAGATCATATGATATTTGGCTTTCTCTGCTTGGCTTGTTTCGCATAGTGTAATACTCTCCAGGTCCCTCCATGTCATCTCAAAGGATAAGAGATCTTTATTTCTTACAGCTGCATAGTATTCCATTGTGTACATGTACCACAGCTTTTTATCCACTCATTTATTTATGGACTTAAATGTAACTTGTGAATCCATAAAAATTCTAGAAGAAAGTGTAGACAACAAAATTCCAGACATCATACACAGTAGAATTTTCACTGATACAACACCTAAGGCAAGAGAAACAAAGGAAAAAAATGAACATATGGGACTACATCAAACTAAAAAGCTCTGTACGGCTAAAGAAACAACCATGAAAATGGAAAGGGAACCTACTATATGGGAGACCATAATTGCCAAGGACACATCAGATAACGGGTTAATTTCCAAAATGTATAGAGTACTCATACAACTCAACAAAAGGAAGACAAAGAACCCAATTAAAAAATGGGCAGAGGAGCTGAATAGACACCTCTCCAAACAGGACATACAAATGGCCAAGAGACATGAAAAAATGCTCAACATCACTAATCATCATAGAGATGCAAATTAAAACAACAATGAGGTATCACCTCACACCTGTCAGAATGGCCGCCATCAACATATCATCAAACAACAAGTGTTGTTGATGGTGTGGAGAAAAGGGGACTCTAGTACACTGCTGGTGGGAATGCAGACTGGTGCAGCCACTATGGAAAACAATATGGTGTTTCCTCAGAAAGTTAAAAATTAAACTACCATTTGACCCAGTGATCCCACTTCTAGGAATATACCCTAAGAAACCTGAAAAACCAATCAGAAAGAATGTATGTACCCCCATGATCGTAGCAGCACTATTTACAATTACTAAGATCTGGAAATAACCTAAGTGTCCATCAGTAGATTGCTCTTTAATATATGGAAGGTTTAAAAAAATACAAAATTTCAACTGGGTTAAAGATTTGTGTATACTATTACTGTTTTGTCATTAAACTAAATGGGGTCTTAAAATCTTAAAAACCACAGTTTTAATAAGATAGAGAACTCAAATATAGCCATGTGACTAAAGAAAATATAACTGATGATAGTCTCTTTTCAATTGTCCGAAATAGGCTTGTTGCATGTGGTGTTGTTAATTGAGTTATAATGGTTTTTGGTACTTTTTTTCTCTCGTTATGGATGTAGGACTCTTTTTATTTATATGACTTTTACTTTATTAAACATGTTTTTTTGGTAATTGTTTTTATTTTTACCCCACAAAATAATAGTCTAGTAAATGTAATATTGCTTATTATGTGATTGATTTTGTCTTTGTTTTCCTTTTACTTTTATTCTGAATGTTATCTGTTTGAAATTGTAGAATGGGAAATATTTTAAGTAGGCAAACATTGAAGGCAGTTTTTCTACTGATAGTGGAATTATATTTTCTAAAAGGAGAAACTATGAAACTGTGGTTATATTACATGAAAAAATCTTGAGGAAAATTTAGAGATAAGTAACAGGTTCTGTTTTATTTTTGTGTTTTATAAGCACTACTGTGCAGTTATTACTTTGTGGTTGCTGAGAATACAGCACTGAACAAAGTCCCTGCCCTTTGGACCAGACCTAACCTCCACATATTTTCTGTTTTTCTTAGATATTAAGTGATTTTGTGGCTAAACAAATTGAATAATTTTTTTTTTTTAGAATGAGTTTCATCAAACAAATGAGATAAATGTTAATCATGTTCTGCTTTTTACGGAATATATTTCTTGAATGTCACGATTCCTAAGGTAGAAATTAATCATTTTAATTAATACTCTTAGAGAACAATGTATAACAGTTAAAGAAAATATTAGATGTCATTGTGGTTAAGTGTATATTTCTGTATTGTTTTAGCTGGGAAGTTTTACGGTTCCTTCTGTCAAATATAAGATGGTGGTTAGAAGAATATGGCTTTGATGGGTTTCGTTTTGATGGTATTACGTCCATGCTCTATCATCACCATGGAATGGGTAAGTCATCTGGTCTGTTACAGGTATAACTAATGATTTTGTTATTCTTTTACTGGCAGATTACAACCAGGTTTGAGGTTCAGTTATAGAAGCTGCCATGACTGGTAATAGTGGCGTGATTTTCATTATTTCCACTGTGTGTATTTTCTCTTGTCCCTTCTAATCCATTTATCGCAAGAGGTTGTATATAAACACATTTTACAAGTATATAAAAAATAATGATTTTCTTGTAAGTATTTTATGTAATAATATGCTCTTCTTATATGTAGCTTTCTTCTAAAAATATTTTTTAAGGAATTTGTTTATTGCAGCACCCTTAGGATATGAACCCAACAGCATTTACAATGAAAAATAAATAACAAAAGTAATAAATAAGAACATTCGTGAATGTGTGGGTTCCTGCATATGAAACATTAAAGAAAATATGCATATAGGTACTCAGTTTAAACTAAATTATAAACTAATTTGTAATAAAAAATATTGATCAGAGTTCTTCAATTTAAAAGTTATACAAAGAAAGCAGGGTCACAGAATCTAATTCTTCAATAGATAACATGTAAAACACTATATTTTAATGGTCAAATATTTACAGCACCAATCAATTCAAAAAAGGGACTTTAGACCATGAATCTTGAAACATGGCTCCCAGGGACAGAAGCTATATTCACAGTGTGCTGCCGGCCACAGTCCTGCAGCAGCCTCGGAGATGGCCCTGGGAAATGTCCCTAGGCATGAAGTGCAACATATAAAACAAGACAGGTTTCATTAATATCCTCCAGTTTGGAGAGGAACTTATTTATTTAGTGGATGAAAAAGGTGAGCACGGCAAAATTCAGGAAAGATCTGCCAAATTAAAACATCTGTATGCCCATGCAGAACCTCTCTCTGCTGAGGGCTAAGAATTTTCCAAGGAATTCTGCAATTGGGGAAATGAACTGAAATCCATGGATATGGAATATATTTTTTATAGGTACAAATGGTAAAGAAAAACATTTTTAGTCACTTAACATCTTTCCCCTCTTTGAATGATGAGGAAAAAAACAAAACAGAACACTGAAACTGTACTGCAAAACAGCACATACCAAAAACACAATTGAGATTAAACAATTAACATTAAGGCAATGAATGTTTAATTCATAAACTTCAGTGCTAAGGAGAATTCATTAGGTGACAACTAGGAAGAAAAATCAGTTCACCTGAAATGATGAAAAAAAAAACAAAAATGGCCGGGTTCTCCTCCTCTTGCCAATAGAATGTCTATAAAATTCTCAGAGAAACAGTGTGACTCATAAAATTGATAGTTGAATTGCCATCGAGGTATAAATTGAAAGGCCTTGAGAAATAAAACTTTTGTAATTATACTTGAAAATATTCTACAGTAATGAAATCCTGTACAAAAGAGTGAGTCAAAGTAAACTTAGATCTAGGGAAGTGGGGGGAAAATGAGTCAAAATAAAGAACTTAGATATAGAGAAGAGAGGGGGTAGGTATTGAGCGCTAATATGACTTTATTGAAATAAGAGTAAACAATGGAAAAAGTAGAAAGGAAGTTGTATAACCTCATTAACTGAAATATACTATAAGCAACCAAAATTAGAAATTGGGAAAGAGGAGGTAGAAGGATCTTAGAGGATGTTAAAATATTTTTGTCATCATAGGAAATTTATACTGCATAAATTGAAATATATTTAAAATAATATAAACATTATGCTTCAATTCTATGATAGTTTTCATACTTGCTTTTCATTTCTTCAGAGGGATCCAATAGAAGCTAGCTAACATTAAACATAGGACGTGATGAAAAAAAAATTTATCTAAAAGTTGAAATTTAGAATTCCTTTCAGTATCATTTCACTTTTTTTTGCTATAAAATTAAATTAAAATGTTAAATCAAAATGTTTTATGTGTGTACTTTTCTAAAACGAAAGTTGAATGGCAGAATTGTTGATATGGAATACTTTTCTAAGTTAGAGCATATATTTGCTGATGATAACATTATGTGGTATTGAGTCTCACTACACTTTGCTATGATCACAAAACCAATATCCACAACTAATTGGTGGGGGCATTTGTGCAGAGTTAAGACTTGCATGCTAACATAAGGCATTCATATTGATTTTCTGTTCTCTAGGTCATGGTTTTTCAGGTGATTATCATGAATACTTTGGACTACAAGTAGATGAAGATGCCTTGACTTATCTCATGTTGGCAAATCATTTGGTTCACACATTGTATCCAGATTCTATAACAATAGCTGAGGTAAAGCCATAATGATCTCTGCCCTCTGACCCCTTGTAATATAAAACATTTTGTCAACATACAGTATTTGAATAACTAATCTCATTTTGTCAATAATGGCATAATTGAAACTATACCCTGACTACAGTGCAGCTACCTTGTATGGGTGACACATTATTAGAATTCACTGTGTTCTTTCTAGGAGATAGTGGATACTCATACTCATCATCATTCCACTGTTAAAAGAGAAAATGCCAGTGGTTAGGAAATAAAATACCCTAATCGGTGGACAGGTCCTTCTGCTGTGATACATTCAGCAGAGAAAAGAATTCAATATTCATGTGCTTCTGTTTGTCTGTTTATTTTTTTCTTTTCTGGTTTATTCATGGCATGGATAGCTGCCTGTGAGCTCCATAGAAGCCTGTCTTGTTCTTATGCCATCACCTTTCTTGTTTATGTTATTGTTCTCCAATCGCCACATGTTCGTTAGTTATGATTACTGAATGCTCATGATCAACTGTCCCAAAGCTTCACTGTAATGCTAGAATTTGGTATATGCATAACTGACAATTCCCCTCGTGGTAATAAATGTGATAAATTAAGAAGTTTGTTAAATGCTTATGCTAATTTAGATTACTGCTAAACTCCCTCTTGTTTCCTGAGTCCTCTGACTAGGAATTATTATTAAAATTGAATCCAGTGTGTTAAAACTATACAAAGTGCAGTTGTCGACATGTAAAACTAATAAGGCTGGTTTTAAAAGAATCAACGTTAAGTTGTAGTTTCACATTGTTGGCCTTTAGTTCATTGGGTGAAGTGTAGTAGTGACTGTTTTCTTTATGTTGTATTTATTGTTTGTATAGCTTTTCAAAAGAAAATTTTTTTTATTGATTTTAGGAGAGAGGAAAGGAGAGAGAGAGAAACATCAATGAGGAGAACATTGATTGGCCACCTCTTGCATGCCCCCCACTGGGGATTAGGCCCACAACCTGGGCACATGCCCTGACTGGGAATTGAACCTGCAATCTCTTGGCGCATGGGTTGATGCTCAGCCACTGAGCCACACCAGCTGGACTGTTTGTATAGCTTTTATGCATTGTTTAATTTTTGTATAGTTTCTCAAAACTCCAAATCCCCAATTAGGCGGTATGATTTTCTAGGTAGAAAACAGTTACTCTCAGTCCATGGGACGATGTTCAATCCACTGAGCCACACTAGCCTGGCTTTTGAGACTACATGGAGGGACCTTCAAAGTATCATCCTAAGTGAAACAAGCCAAACAGAGAAAGACAAGTATCATATGATCTCACTTATTTGTGGAATATAATGAACATAACAGTTTGAGGAATGGGGTAGTCCCAGAGACGTGGAAGTGGGGTACAGACTGCCAATCCCCAGAAGAGGGGGTGGTGGGGGAGAGATAAACCACAGAACTTATATGCATGTATGTATGAACAATGGACATGGACAACAAAGCTGGGGACAGGGCAGAGAGGGAGGGGGAGGGGGGAATCAGTGGGGAATCTGTAACAAAAATTAATTAATAAAAATAAATTAATTAATTAATAAAAAAGAAAAAGAAAACAGTTACTCTCTCTAGTTCGTTGTCTTCTAATGATCTTCTAGGAATAAAACTATGGATCCTAAATACCGGGAATAAATACTTATATAGAATTTTTCAAAACCCAATAATTGTAATACCGTTGTGGTATCCATTATTATTTCACATTCTTTATCTGCCTACAATTGGTCATAGCTTATAAATCTTGCTAATACTCGTACTAATAATTTGTGCTATCTTTGAACATCAATCACAGTGTGTTTTAAACTTATTTTGTCTTTTATATATTTTAATTGTATCAAACATCAAAAATTTAATTATTTTATCAATTATATTTATGGCAATTCAGAGCAGAAATTTGACAAATTACTATGAACAATTAATGACAGCACAAATCCAAAATTGGTCCTGATAAAAAGAAGCAATTATTTAATACATGAAACTTAAAAATGTTACATGGATCTTTTCATTCATTTCAAGTAAAAGAGTTTTTTCATCTAGAGAGCCCTTGTCTGATTATCAGTGTTTCTTTCAATGAAACTTTGAGACTTTAGCCTACTTTGTATTAGTTGGTTTTAGATTTTCTTAAAACAAAATGTGTCTTCAATTTATTCTACTTAAATTGAAAACTACAATTTTAATACATTGCTTTTCTGTCTAGTGGGAGTCTCTTCAAAATGTGTAATTGATCCTCCTAAACTTTTTTTAAAGAAAGGAATATGGTATAACAAATAAGTAATGAAGTTTTAGATAAAGTCCTATAGTAGATATTTGAATTTATTTATAATGACATTTACTAAAATTGAAACTTTTTTTCTGAATTATGTCTACCACTCCATACAATTATATTTGCTATATTACTTTAAAATATGTTTTAATTAAGGCCCCCCCATGAAAAGTAAGTGCCCTTTAGATATTAAATAATAAGACTATTTTAACTTTATTTGAAACACATATGATTATTTTAATATGCTACGTTGGTAGGTATCAAGTTTTTTAATTTAAAATATATTTATTTTAGTGGTCTTTATATTTACCTTTTTTTCTTTTAGTGTTTTAAAATGATAGTCATTAACTCTTCCCTTTCAAAAGAAAGCTAGAAATATTCTATATGTGTTAATGGGAAAGCTTTCTAAGATTCAGATTTAGGGGTCAAGACCAATTGGTGTCCAAATAGTTTTTTTAGCAGACTGTATTTTTTATTAAACTATTTCCTGCCCTGGTCTGTTTGGCTCAGTGGTAAGAGCATCGGCCTGCTGTCCAGAGAGACCTGGGTTCGGTTCCTGCTAAGGGCACATACCTCAGTTGCAGTTTGTTGGCCCCAGCTGGGGTTGTGTGGGTGGCAACCACTCTAAGTGTCTCTCTCACATCGATGTTTCTCTCTCTCTCTCTCTTCCTCCCTCTCTTCATCTCACTCTATGAATGCAAAAAATGTCCTCAGGTGAGGATTTAAAAAAAAAAAAAACTATTTCCTAAAGCTACCTTTAGACCAAATATACAATGTACCTTCATGTTTTCTTGAGAAAAAGTGTCTTGATTTTTAATACCAACCTATTACCAGTTCTATGATCCTGGTCCTGTGGAAACTCATCTTTGGAATGCATTGTGTCTCTGATTCCACTGCCTAACAGGTGCCTGATATTTAATACATAGTCAGCCAGTGCTTATAACGAATTGAATTAGATAACTATCATGTCTGTGAAAATATAGCATAATTTGATACATATAATTTTTAAATGGCTTTTTTTGTTAACCATCTTTTTTCACTTATTTTTTAATCATCTTTTTTCACTTTTATACACTATAAAGTACTATGTAGAGATAAGATATAATTTACAAATACTTTATTTCTAATGGATGTATTATACTATATACTATATTTATTTATACCTCTTGTCCAAAAGGAAACCAATTAATAAATTATTTTGGGAGTCCAGAGAGATCATGTATTTCTTTTCTCCAGCTTTTTTGTGGGAAGTTTGGGGATGGTATTGTGGAAGAAGCATTTAAGTCTCAGAGAGTTCATAGTGTATGATATTCTTTTATAGGAAATTTGGGCAATGACATAAGTAGAAAAGCTTGTGACATGCACAGGAAAAAGTAAATATTTCAAAGTGGATGAAGTATTTAGTACCTGAGATGAAGTAGTATAAAATAATGGTAGAAAGATGTAGGTCTCTCCGTTGGAGTTTCTGTGTACTTAAGATAATGGTTATCACAACTGTATCACATTGTCACTTCATGATAATAAATGTGTGTACATGTATTTAGGCTGTAAGTTATGAATCCCTGGAGGACAGACAGTATGCCTTATATATCTTTAAATCTTGACAGCACCTTCATTCATTCACCCAGCAAATATTTATTGAGTACCTGCTTCATGCTAGGTACTATTCTCTATTATTCTAGATTCTTGGCATATGTCAGTTAACAGCAACAAGAACAACAACAAACTTCTGTGCCATGAATCTTACATTCTAACAGTGAAATACCAACAGATAATCAAATAGTAAATTGTATCAGTGCTTAATGTGTGTTAAATTTGAGTTTTTGATTTTTGGCTATTGAAAGACATTGATAGGCAGTAATAGGATCTGACTATCTCATAATGTTAATTTGGCACCAGTTCGTGTGAAGAGAAACTGGAGATGGTGAATTTCATTTGGACATGTAATGGTCTAAGCAAGTAGTCATGAAGATAAGATAGTGGTTGTAGAAGTGGAGTGAAGGGAAAGGATTTATTGAAAGATACTATGGGTTAGAATTGATAGTACTTGGCTTATATTCTGCCATTATTGTTACAGTAACATATCTTGTTATATCTAGATCCTTGTACCATTATTTTTTATTTGTTTGTTCAATTGAATATTTATTTGATTTTAAGTAGTCAAGTGGTACATGACAGAATAGACAGTGTTGAAAGACCTGACATCTCAGTCCTGGCTGTACCATTTAAAAACATGTATCTTTAGAGATCCCTTCACCTCAGTGAGCCTCGATTTCTATGTCTTCTGAATGAAGAAGATCCACTAGATAACCTCAAAGACTTTTTCCAAGTGTGAGCGATTATACTGAAAGCTATCTTATTGCTTCAATCTGAATGTCCTAGCTTTACTTTTAATTTCATCAGAAATGAGCTAAGTGAGCTAGGTGCTCAAAATACATCCATGTCTGATAGCAAGGATGGCAGATACATGCTGCCTGTATTTTTCTGTTTCATGAAATCGGTAACTAATAACATATGTTCACAGAGTAGCTTAAAAATCAGTCTAAGAAATAAGTTTTAGCAATAATAGTTGTACTATTTTGTGTTCTCTATGTGAAAAGAAGGAAAGAAAAATACAGCCTCATGAAGTCAAAGTTGTCCTGCAGTGAAGAGCATTACATGCTGTGTTTTGGGAGAAATGAGATAGACTATCATAGTTTTATCTACTTTTACAATTATGCTACCAAAACACTAAAAATGTATGCCTACACCCCTATTTATTGTTTTTATTTATTGGCCTTACCCTTACTGTCAGACGGATATTTAGTAAAAATTTGGGCAGCATAACCAATAATGCTGGCTCTTTGTTTTAGGATGTATCAGGAATGCCAGCTCTGTGTTGTCCAATTTCCCAGGGAGGGTGTGGCTTTGACTATCGATTAGCCATGGCAATTCCAGATAAATGGATCCAGGTAAGATTTCCTATAAATATTTTGTGTGTATGTGTGTGGAAAGCATGTATTAAGTTGGTTTATTTATTATTTCTTTGATTTATTTCTTAGTGGTGATTATTATTTACAGATATTATAATTGAAGTACTAAATTCTCCCATGAATGTGTTGATTCTTGTGCTTCTCCAACTTCTAAAAGTTATAATGAAAGCATTAACATTTGTACTATTTAGACACGGGGGAATATGATTAATATAATGTTAGCTGTGTAAAAGGAATTTTGCATTATCAATGCAATTGTACAGAACTTCAGTGTTCTATATTGAAAGCATGTTAAACTTCATCAAAGTATCCATTTCTGTCTGTAAATTATCAGTTAGTGTAGAAGATACTCCTTAATTCCCAGTACATGATTCATAGTATGGTTTTTCCTCAACATATTTGGTTTCATCCAGTCCTTCATTCAGCATTTAAAAGTCCTTAGTGTGTGTCAGTAACTAGGAATGAATAATTGTATATAACACCTTACACATAATTTCTAATACAATTATATTAAATTTAATGACAGTTCAAGTAGTTTGGATTCTATTTTTTTCACTGAATATTTGCCTACAGGACTAAAGTTGTTATATATACTTAGATTTGATATAGAACATTTTTGTGTCACTAACTCCATAACCATAGGCTGAATGTGTAAGGAGTCATATATGAATCAAATAATCATAGCTTTCTGATGAGGCCTTTAGTACAGACATGAACTGGTGCCATGAGATTGCAGTGTTAGAAATAACTTAACTTTGCATAGAAAAACCATAGAGCCTATTCTGAAGGAAGTGGTTATTGGAATCATCTCATAAATGTCTTTACTGGAGCCCCAGGCAGTTTGTACAATGCACAGCTGTGACATCAAAACTCTTACCAACACTGTTTCTCCTTTTCCAGCTATAATGACTCTTCAAACATTGCCAACTCCAAAAGCAAATGTGTTTTTTGTGTATAATTGGAGCCATTTTATTAATTTATATAATTTTTAATCCTCACCTGAGGATATTTTTCTATTTTTCCATTGATTTTTTGTTGTTGTTGTTGTTGTTAGATATAGTGGGATTAAGGGAGAGAGAGAGAAACATAGATGTAAGAGAGACACATAGATGGGTTGCCTCTCGCACGACTCCAGCCGGCTGGGGATTGAACCCGCAACCAAGGTAGGCATCCTTGACCAGTAATCGAACCCATGACTCTGGTCCTCGGGCTGACTTTCTAACTGCAGAGCCAAACTGGCCAGGACAAAATGCAAGTGTTTTATCAAGACGATTAATCTTAGAAATCAAACAAATGAGGGAGTGTCTAGCTTTCATACCTGAGAAAGTTGCTTTCTATTTGTTACTCTGAAAACTGCTATGTTCTTCAAGTTTCTCACTTTGGTTTAAGGTTCTTTTTTTTTTAGATTACTTTTTTATTTTTATCCTCACCAAAGGATATTTTTCAATTTATCATCAGATAGAGTGGGAGGGAGGGGGAGAGAAGGAGAGAGAGAGAGAAATATAAATGTGAAAGAGACACACCAACTGGTTGCCTCCCACATGACCCGACCAGGGCTGGGGATGAAGTGCAACCAAAGTATATACCCTTGACCAGAATCGAACCTGTGACTCATTGGTCCACAGGCCAACACTCCGACTGCTGAGCCAAACTGGCCAAGGAAGTTTAAGATTCTTTATCTCTTCACCGTCACTTACAATTTCTCATCTTTCACACCAACATTTTCCCTAGCATGTGCCAAATCTTACTTTGTTAACCTTCCATTGAAAAGTTTTCACTATTGATCAGTCTTCTTGCAGATTCAAGAATATTTCAAGGTGTACATCAACCTAGAATTTTTCCCAATCAATCATAGCTCACACTGGGGTTATCCTCAATGATGGCAATTTTCTTCTTATCATTAACTGACCAAACATTTTAGTACCTTGGGTGTTGGAGACACTATGTACTCTGTATGCAGCACATCATACAGATGGAAAAGTGTATTTTTCTATGTTTAGAATGTGACCATGTTTAGATTGTAAATGCTCTGAGGCAGATGTCACCTTCTGTTTTATGTATTTAAAAATCTTTTTGCATTACAAAAATGGACTCTTAGTTAAGAAGAGTCCCATTAAATAATATTTTTTAAAACTCAGTAATTCTCCCCTATTCTTATAAGTTGTACATTTAACAAAATAATTGCATAAATGACTATCATTCCCTCAAATGTCAATAATACATGCAAGAGTATTAATCCAAAGGACAATTCTACCCAGAATGTATATGGCATTCACTGTTACCTGACCCAGCATGTAAGTTGGTTGGAATGCTATATTACATTTATGTTTTTGTTGTTCAAAAGCAAATTATTTCCTAATTTCTACTTGCATGATTTCAAAATTAGTACTTTGGGATATGATATTAGTGTTATCATTTACTGAACAAATATTTGCCTATATAAAATATGCCAACTTTGCTATATTTCTTTTCATTTTATTTGATCATTTTTATTATCTAATAACTGTTTATGTAAAGATAATATAAGCATTTAATTGAATTAATTCATTTATTCCACTAAATATTTATTGTACACCTAGTATTTTTTATCATATATAGTTTTTTTTTTTTTTTTAATTATTATTATTTTTTTTTACCCTCACCCGAGGACATTTTTTCATTTTTTGTTCAGATAGAGTGGAAGGGAGAGAGGAAGAGAGAGAGAGAGAGAGAAACTTCGATGTGAAAGGGACACATCGAGTGGTTGCCACCCGCACAACCCAACCAGGGCCGGGGACAAACTGCAACTGAGGTACATGCCCTTAGTGGGAATTGAACCTGGGTCTCTCTGGACCGCAGGCCGACGCTCTAACCACTGAGCCAAACAGGCCCGGGCAATTATATATAGTTTTTTAATTGCACTTTTTTATGTTGAGAAAATTGTAGATTCCCATGCTGCTGTGAGAAATAATACCATGAGATCTGATATCCCCTTAACTAGTATCCCCCAATGGTCATACCTTGAAAAGCTGCAGTACATTATCACAACCAGGATACTGACATTGACATAGTCAAGATTCAGGACACTTCCAAGTCCTCAGGTTTCCTCATGTTGCCTTCATAGACACACCTGCATCCCTCTTGCCCCCAATCACAGCTTCCTAAGCTGTGATAACCACTAATCTGATCTCCATGCCTATAATTTTGTCATTTCAAGAATGATATATACATGGAATCATACAGTATGTAACCTTTCTGGATCGGCATACTTTACTCAGCAAAGTTCTCTGGAGATTCATCTAAGTTGTTGCATGTATCAATAGTGTATTTATTTTTACTGCTGAGTAGTATTCCATAGTGTGGATATACCACAGTTTGTTTAATCATTTGTCCATTAAAACACATCTGGATTGTTTCTAGGTTTTGGCTATTATTAACAAATCTGCTATAAACAGTTGTGTACAAGTTTTTCTATGACTATAAGTCATACTCTGGGATAAATGCCCATTTATTTTCATTACTCTAGGATAAACGTTCAAAAGTGCAGTTACTGGATCATATAGTAGTTGAACGTTTACTTTTTTAAGAAACTGCCACACTATTTCCAGAGTAGCTGTACTGTTTTATATTTTCACCAGCAGTGTTGGAGAGATTCAGTTTGTATATATCATTGCACGGTAGCACTTCAGTGCTGTCTCTTTTTCATTCTAGCCATTCTAGTAGGTGTGTAGTGATAGCTCATGGTGGTTTTAATTTGCATTTCTTTAATGACTTATAATGGTGAACATCTTTTCATTTGCTTATTTGCTTTCTGTGTATTCTCTTTGGTGAAATGTCTATTCCTGTCATTTGGCCATTTTCTAATTGGGTCCTTTATTTACTGTGATATTTTGAGTTTTCTATATATTCTAGATTTAGCTCTTTTTTTGGATATGTGGTTGACACATATATTCTCCCAGTCTGTTTGCCTGCTTTTTCATGTAGGCAGAAATTCTTTGTTTATTTTAAATTTGATGATGCCAATTTATCTTTTTTTTTTTTGAGATCTCTCTTTTGGTGACCAGTCCAAGAATTCTTTGGCTGTATTTTCTTTTAAACATTTTATATTTTTATTTTTAAGTTTATGATTCATTTTGAGTTAAGTTTTATGCAGTGTGTAAGACTTCATCCAGCTGCTGCTGCTGCTGCTTTTTTTTTTTTCCTATGGATGTCCAACTTTTCCAGCATGATTTGTATAAAAATACAGGGCTGGCAAAAGTAGGTTTACAGTTGCATTGTGATACTCTTTTGAGTTAATGAAACTCTTGTAATAATAATAACCTGCATATCTGTTTTTTTATATGGGCAACTATATACCTGCTTTTGCCCACCCCCATATATCTACCTTCCATTGAATTGTTTTTGCACATTTGTCAAAACTAATTGTGCATATTTGTGTAGGTCTCTACATTAGTTTCAAAGTATTGCTATATCTAATGATCACAAACTTAGTGACTTAAAACAGCACAAGTTTACAATCATATAGTTTTTATATCTCTGTACATCACAAATCTGAAGTGGATCTTCATAGGTTACAATCGGGGCATTGCCAAGGCTGCGTTCCTTCTGAAGCTCTAGTTTCCTTGACTTCTCTAGCTTCTAAAAACCACCAGTATGCCTTAGCTCATGGCCCGTTCTGTCATCCTCAAAGCCAGTGGGCTAGCATCTTCAAGTCTTTCTCACTCTTACTAGTCATGCCTCCTTTTTAGAAAGATCTCTGTCATTCACTGGTATTCAGATTCTGGATATTAGGATGTGAACAACTATGAGTGACCATTATTCTGCCCAACGCAGTTCGTCCTCTGGTGCCCAGCAATTCACAGAGCAATTGTGAGGGATTGCTGAATTCCAAGGGGTGGGGAGGAGTCAGCAAAGGAAGATACAAACAGGCCTGAACCCAGTTTCTGGTACCCAAGCCTACATTAGTTTTCTCTTGCTGTGTAACAAATAATAGTTGTGTTTGTTTTTTTTTTTTTTTTAATTTTTTTTTTTTTTAATTTTTTTTTTTTTTTTTTTTTTTATCCTCACCCGAGGATATTTTTCCATTTTTTGTACAGCTAGAGTGGGAGGGAGAGAGAGGAAGGGAGAGAGAGAGAGAGAAACATCGATGTGAAGGGACACATCGAGTGGCTGCCACCCGCACGACCAACCAGGGCCGGGGACAAACTGCAACCGAAGTACGTGCCCTTAGCGGGAACCGAACCCGGGTCTCTCCGGACCGCAGGCCAACGCTCTAACCGCTGAGCCAAACCGGCCAGGGCAATAGTTGTGTTTTAATTATTATTTTTAAAGAATGGAACAAAACATTATTTCTCCTCATTTTTTTATCTAATCTAAAAATGTAGCAAGTGTATCTCTACCTTGTGAAAGCTACAGGGAAGGTACATTGCACAATAACACTTTCCTGTAGTTATTAGTCAAGAGGTAGTGGTTGTTACAGGGGAAAACAAGGATGCAAAAATCCTAAAGTGCAGTGATCAAACCATCTGCACAAAAGTAAAAATATGCATGCATGCACACTAACACACACACTACACCACTGTCATTTGGACAGGCTGCTTAAAAATCTGTGATTTCAGAAAAATTTTCAACAAAGATATCTTTGCTATATGGGTGGGCCTGTATCTTTGTGTCAAATAACATGGATTTATTTGATGCATACACTAAGATGGGGTTTAATGTAGGAACAGTAATGGTTTATGCTAATTATATTCCTTCTTGCATCTAGCTACTTAAAGAGTTCAAAGATGAAGACTGGAATATGGGCAACATAGTTCACACACTAACAAACAGACGCTACCTTGAAAAGTGCATTGCTTATGCAGAGAGCCACGATCAGGTAAATGAGCATTTATGTAAATCTCTCTTCTCTATGTCTCTCTCTGTCTCTGTGCGTGTGTGTCTGTGTGTGTGTTTGTATTTATTAGCATATTTTAACACAAATTAATATGGTTTGATACAGTTAATATAACTTATATCTACCTATCTATAGCTATATCTTTGTGAAAATTACTTATACATGCAAAACATTTTAAAATTATTTCATTGATCTATAACTTTCAGCTTCAAAATGCAGAGCCATTTTTATCCTGTCAAACTCTAACTGAAAGATTGAAAAGATTGAAATGGCAGCTGCAAGTGATATCGTGCCTTTTTTTTTTTTAGTTGTTGTGATGAGAGGAATGGAATGTGGGTGCTGATTCAGGTTAATTTTAACTTCCATTATAGGTTTCCTTCTAGACATTTTCTTGTATGACTTTTTACAGGCTTTCGTCATTTTTTCTCTCTGTCACGAAAACCTCCTGCTCACTGGTCACTGTACCTCAGCTTCATTCCCTCTTCTCTGATGTAGCCTGAGGTATTTCCAAAGAGCAAAGCTTATTTTGTCAACCCAGATCTTTTCAGTGAAGCTTGTCATCCAAGGCCGCACAGAACCTGGCAAGAGCCAAAGTTTCTACCTTCACTCCTGCTCATCTCTCCCACTGTTCTGTTCTTCAGAGCTGAAAAGTTTCCTGAGTGGGTTCCAGTCTTGTCCTCTTGCCCACAGTTACAAATGCCTGCTTCACCTGGGAAACCCCTGGAAAAGACCCAGTTATCCCTGGCTCAGATAGTGCATTCTCTCTGAAGCCTTCCTCTCATTGTCGAGGGTAAAAATAATTGCTCCATCATCCATGTTCTCATCATGTTTTAGCAGAAAAAATTTTTGTATACCTTTGTGTTTCCAGTCTTAATACTCTGACTGCCCCTAGTAGTCACTCAGTAAATCTAAATAAATAGGGGAAAATGGTCATTTCATTATGTAAAGCTATATTAATCCTCACATGCCTAAACAACATAAAATGTACTCTTTCAACATTAAAAATGAGACAGTAAATATTTTTGAATGTTTGTCATATGTATACATTGTCATATATATACTAAGAAAATTGAAGCTTAAACAATAAGCTTCTCTGTTATTTCAGCAGAAATTGACAGGTGGTTTTTCGGGTGTCTTCTCTAATTATTAAGACCATGTAAGTGGGTCAGAGAGGTCAGCTACTAAGACCCACGGGCCAAATTCTGCTTGCTGTTTGTTTTTGTTGTGTTAATTGGAACACAGCCATGCTTATTCATTCTCATTATGTATATGGCTGCTTTTAAGTAGGTGAGACAGAGAAAGTGGCCCATAATGTCTAAAACATGTACTCTTTGGCCTTCATGGAAAGTGTGCTGACTCACGAGCTAGACACAAGCTGTATTTTGCATCTTCCAAATTGGAGCACTGCTGTCTTTTTCATTCAAATTGGCTGGTAGAGCAGATCAAATAAATGTGAGAAAAGCAGAGACAAAATATCACAGAATAATAAGTGATAGTGATTTAAGGGCTGGGGGAACCACTCACCAAGGAACAAACATAACATGAAAACTAAAGTACATACGTGAATTATATCTTTCTGTTGCAAACTCCTAACAGTTGTAGCACATTTTGAGTTTCCAATATGTACTTATTTTATATGAATGAATTAATGAAATACTATAGAAATGCATGGGATAAACAAATTGAAGGTAAAACTGATAGATTGCTCTGATAATTTTTCTCCAAAACATATAGAAACATTATAGATTTACCTTGAATGAGTTCATACTTTGAAGATTCAAGTAATTCTGCCTGGTATTACCAGTTGTTGGGAAGGTATAAAAAGATGCAAGTTGCTTAGTTGTTTCTAAAAGCAAATGTACAAATACTTCTAATAAAAATGATAAATATACAGGGTGGATTAAAAGTAGGTTTACAGGACTTCCGGTCAAGATGGCAGGTGGGTAAACACAGTATCGCATCCTCCCACAACCACATCCAAGTTACAACTAAACTACAGAACGACGATCTTTCAAAACCGCCTGAAATCAAGCTGAATGGAAGTCCTACAGCTACGGGTTAAAGAAGCTGCATCGAGACTGGTAGGAGGGGCGGAGGCGCGAGGGGCAGTGAGACAGCGGTGAGACAGGCTGGTCCCACACCCACGTGTGGCGGATAAAAATCAGGAGGCTCCCTCGGCTGGGAAGGTCCTTCCTGAGGACCGAGGGGTCCCCGTCCCACCAGGCGCCCAGCTCAGGGTTCCAGTGCCAGGAAGACAAGTCCCCATAATTTCTGGCTGGAAAAACCAGCAGGAACTGAGGCTCAGGGAGGCTCAGGCGGCTGTAGCCCCAGGCAGCTCCTTAAAGGGCCCGCGCACGGACTTATCGGACTCTCTCCCTCTAAGCTTGGAGGGGAGGAAGCTCGAGGGGCGCCAGAGACACACAGGGAAGAACTGAGCTGTTTGGCACTGGAGCGAGGGCTGGAGAGGGGGCCTGCTGTTAGAGGCCTTTGTTCCTTTGGTGAGCCCTTCCCGGGGGCGGCAGACAGAAGCCATATCTGGGACTCCAGCAACCTGGCTCACACTGGTAGCCCCGCCCTGGTGACTCCCCGAGGCCCCGCCCCACCCCACACAACTTTCAGGCCCACCCAAGCTGTTGCCACTTGCTTAACCATAGGATTGGCCTGTCTTGGATCCTGCTTCAGGTTTTTCCTAAATTCTTTCAAACGAGCAGCATCTGGTCTCAGCTAGCCCCATACCGCTCGTTAAGTAATACACAGAAACAAACACAGGGAGGCAGCCAAAATGAGGAGACAAAGAAACAGGTCCCAAATGAAAGAACAGAACAAAACCCCAAGAAAAGAACTAAGCGAAATGGAGATAAGCAACCTAACAGATGCTGAGTTCAAAATACTGCTTATAAGGATGCTCAATAAATTTAGTGAGGGCCTCAAGAGCATAAAAAAAGGACCAGTCAGAAATGATCGATGCACAGTTAGAAACGAAGGAGGCTTTAACTGAAATAAAGAATAATTTACAAAGATTCAATAGTAGAGTACGTAAATCTAAGAAGCAAATCATCAATTTGGAATATAAGGAAGCAAAAAACGCCCAATCAGAACAGCAAAAAGAAAAAGGAATCCAAACAAATAAGGATAGTGTAAGAAGCCTCTGGGACAACTTCAAGCGTGCCAACATTCGCATCTTGGGGGTGCAGGAAGGAGAAGAGAGAGAACAAGAAATCGAAAACCTGTTTGAAACAATAATGGCAGAAAACTTTCCTAACTTGGTGAAAGAAAGAGATATACAAGTCCAGGAAGCACAGAGAGTCCCAAACAAGATGAACCCCAAGAGGCCCACACCAAGACACATCATCATCAAAATGGAAAAGGTTCAAGACAAAGAGAGAATCTTAAAAGCAGCAAGAGAAAGGCAGTTAGTTACCTACAAGGGAGTTCCCATAAGGCTGTGAGCTGATTTCTCAAAAGAAACTTTGCAGGCCAGAAGGGAGTGGCAAGAAATATTCAGAGTGATGAAAAGCAAGAACCTACAACCAAGATTACTCTATCCTGAAAAGCTGTCATTTAGAATAGATGGCCATATGAAGACTTTCCCAGAGAAGAAAAAGTTAAAGGAGTTCATCACCACCAAACCGTTATTATATGAAATGATGAAGGCTCTTTTTGAAGAAAAAGATAAAATATATGAACAAACAAAATGGCAATGAATACATAGCTATCGACAATGGAATCTACAAACAAAATGAACAGGCTGAACAGAAACATTCTCATAGACACAGAGAACATTTTGTTGGTTGCCAGATGAGAGGGGGGTTGGGGAAATGGGTGAAAAAGGTGAAGGGATTAAGAAGCACAAATTCATTGCTAGATTGACAAACCTAGAAGGGAAAGGGGTTGGGGGGTGGTAAGAAATAAACCAAAGAACTTATATGCATAACCAATGGACACAGACAACAGTGTGGGAAAAGGCGGAAGGGGGCAGGAGTGGGGAGGAGGGGGTCAGTAGGGGAAAAATGTGGAATGTCTGTCAATACATTCTACATTCAACAATAAAGATTAAAAAAAAAAAGTAGGTTTACATTCGTAAGTACGGGAAAAAAAAAAGTTTATTCCTGTATTATTACTTATCATTACTGTATTATTTTTTAGACAAACAACTGTAAACCTACTTTTGCCTCATTCTGTATTGTTATAAAATGAATAATGTAGGAATGTATACATCATAGTAAACATCTAACAGAATTTATCATAGTGATTCTAAAACAGAATCAGAGATTATAGAAGTAAACACAGATACACATAAAAATATAGTTAAACAACTCAAAGCAAGTGGAAAGGACAAATTGTTTAAGAAACAATGCTGTCTAATCACAATTTAACAAATATATTTGTATCTTACATACATTGTTTTCAAACTTTTTTTACCTGTAGAACATATTTTCTTTCTTTTTTTCTTTTTTTTTTATCCTCACCTGAGGACACTTTTCCATTTTTTTGTTCAGATAGAGTGGGAGGGAGGGAGAGAGAGAAACATCAATGTGAAAGGGACACATCGATTGGCTGCCACCTGCACGACCAACCAGGGCTGGGGACAAACTGCAACCGAGGTACGTGCCCTTAGCGGGAACTGAACCCGGGTCTCTCCGGACCGCAGGCGGACGCTCTAACCGCTGAGCCAAACCGGCCAGGGCTGTAGAACCTATTTTCAAACTACACTCATATAGAACTCTATGTTATACATCAGATTGAAGCTGCACTTTACTGGTACATATATTAGTTTGCTAGGGCTGCCACAACAAAATACCACAGTCAGGGTGGCTTAAACAACAAATTTATTTTTTATATTGCTGGAGGCTGCAAATACAAGGTCAGTTGTCATCAGGTTTAGAGTCTCCTGAGGCCTCTCTCCTAGGTTTGCAGATGGCATTTTCTGTGTCCTCAAGTGGTCTTTTTCTGTGCACATTTATCCCTGGTGTTTTTTTGCTCTTCATATAAGGGCACCATTCACTGGATTAGGACTCCACTCTTATGACCTCATTTAACCTTGGTTATCTCTTTGTTCTAGCTCCAGATATAGGCACATTGGCAGTTGGGACTTCAACATGAATTTGAAGGGGGCGGGTAACAATTCAGTCCATAAAAGTATACAATTTTTGTATGTTTAGATATAAAATATTTACCTAGAAGTCAGAGAACAAAGGAGTTGTTTTGCTAAAGCAAAAAAAAAAAAAAATTTAACTCAAGTAATACAGATGACAATTCTCAAACTTTGAGAATTTTTGTGTCAAGAACCATATTCTCAGCCAATTCTTTCTTGGCCTAACAATAAGGACAAGACCAATGAAATGAGTAGATTTTTTTTAATAAAATTATTTTAAAGACAAGTCATTTAAATCAAAATAGATTAGAGAGTGTAACAGGTTTGTAAGTAAACATATTTTTCTAAAAATGAAAATAATTGTAATAGGGTAATGAGATAATGGCCTAATTTCTCTTATATGTTTCACTGTGCATGTATTTCTTGTCAGTGAAGAACACTTTGTATTAGTGAGCTGTTCTTAACCATTAATAATTCAGATTGTTAAGAGGCCTCTCTTCTACTCAGGGTGTTTCTGAGTAACCTGCCCCATTCATCAATCGTATTTTCATGTAAATCAAATAAATTTTAGATTAAATAACAAATACAATGAGGAAGCAAACTGTACATTTTAAGAAAAAGTTGCCAACCTTATGCCCAAAGGGAGGAGAGTCCTATGTAATATATTTGTAGACATATTATATATATGCATATTAAATACATATACTTCTATAAATACATATACATACATATAAAATATTTTTTTAGAAACTTACGTTCTTTCAAAACAAATTCATAATATGCGAACTATTTCAAAATCTGTTTAGCTTTCTCAACATTATGGTAAATATTTATTCCAATTTCAGAAAAATTGAAGCATCCACTCTGTTCTAATAGGTAGCTTATCACGGATTTCTCACCAAGCTCTTTAAAAAATTAAAAATCGCCCTGGCCGGTTTGGCTCAGCGGTTAGAGCGTCGGACTGCGGTCCAGAGAGACCCGGGTTCGGTTTCCGCTAAGGGCATGTACCTCGGTTGCAGTTTTTCCCCAGCCCTGGTTGGGTCGTGTGGGTGGCAACCACTCGATGTGTCGCTTTCATGTCGATGTTTCTCTCTCTCTCTCTCCCTCTCACTCTATATGAACAAAATATCGAAAAATGTCCTCGGATGAGGATAAAAAAAAATAATAATAATAAAATAAAATTAAATTAAATTAAAAATTAATAATCAATCCTGAAAACACATGTGCTGATCTCTAACAGGTTCTACCAGCTCACCTTCAGCACAGAAGGTAATTATTGGCATATGCATTAAATTAATGCTAAATTATCACACACCTTTCCTACATTGTTTTCATCCTGTGTTATTCTAGTGTAAATCATAGCTGCTTGGTTCCTATTCTTTGCATTCATCTCAGTGACTTTTACTTCTGTAGGCACTCGTTGGGGATAAGACACTGGCATTTTGGTTGATGGATGCTGAAATGTATACCAACATGAGTGTTCTGACCCCTTTTACTCCAGTTATTGATCGTGGAATACAGCTTCATAAAATGATTCGACTCATTACTCATGCCCTTGGTGGAGAAGGTTACCTCAATTTCATGGGTAAGTTTCAATTGAACACATAATCCAATCTGTATTGAAAATGTTAACTAATACTACATGAGCATAAATCATGTAGAATATTTTGATTTGGCTGTTTAAATTTAAAATAGAAAATTACAACTTTATACCTTTACTGTCGTATAAACTGCAAACATTAAATTTCTGTAAGACTGTTATAACTAATACAAGATGAAAAAGTAGTTTAATAGCTGGTATTTTATTTAATATTATTGACAAGTGGATTATTTTTAAAACAGAATTATTTTGAATCTAATCATTCTGTGTTTATTTTGTTGTAGTGCTTGCACATTAAACATAAGAAAGATATAATTGTCATGTCATAACATATTATACTAATATTATTGGTTTTCTTTAAGGTAATTGTATACCAGTATATTTTATTATAAATGTGAAAGCCATGGCCCAGGATATTTTGATGGGCAAAAAAATATTTAAAAACAAAAATAAAAAATTATATTTTCAGAGGTCATTATTGTTTCAAGGTTCTTGATTGATAAAATGTAGAAATCAACTAATAGAGTTTTCTGTTCTATTTGGTTTACAACAACCATTTGAATATTTGAGTTTTAGGAGATTTGCCAGCCTTTTGGCTAAAGAGAAACAGAAACAATTGGTAAATGCATATGGGAGGCTGACTCACTTTTCTACAGTAAAAGCCTAAGTGCTTCAAATTACCTCATGTCTTTCTGCAAGTTTTTATAAAGAATCTCAGATTGGACTTTTAAAAGCTTCTATTTTGAAGATGAGGCTACCCTTATCAAAAATGCTGGAAGATGAATATTAGTGTTTTTGTAAGATTGATTCCTAGGGGAAAATTTAAGAGAAAGGAAACTGACATTTTTCAAATATCTACCATGTGCCAACCTCACCTTCAAATCTACCTCCCCCACTTCTACAATCTTCTTTCACCCCCGATGAGAAAGTAAAATTCATTTTGGTCTTAGAAGAAACCAAAGATTAATGCTTCCCCTTTATTATCTTCCTATCTCATTCAATTACCAAAATCCTCAGGCCCTGAATACAAATGACCATGATTTTAACCAGTCATGTGTATATACAAACACAAAATTCCTTGTTTTCTCCACCCCAGAGAGAAGTCTCAGAATATGCCGCACTCTTAATCATACATGTAATTGCATTTAATATTTCATGTGCATTTAAATAGTCTTCCAGCTATCCTTCATTACATTGTTCTGTTTAATTCCTCCATGTATTTTTCAAGTTGCAATTATATGTTCATGATAACTTATGCATTTGTTGTCTCCTTCCTCCACTAGACTGTAAGCTCATGAAAACTGGGACCCTAATTGTTTAATTCATTATTGTATGCCCAGGACCTGCACCCTGCCTAGAGTATGCATTCAATAAATATGTGTTGAATGAAAAAAAAAAAAAACAGCTTTTATTTTTTGTTAGCCTTTGGTTAGAGAGCGAAGCCCAGTAAACCATACATTAAATTTTATCTGCATGAGTATATCTTTGCAGTATACCTTTGGGTGCAGTCCTCTTTTTCTCAGGATCATCAAAATGTGTTAATATCCCTAACCTGCCAGGAGGTATCCTTCCTGACCTGTGAGACTGCACTATGGCAGCCAAGCACCACACCACATTTCCTGAGGGCATCCTATCCAGAAGTGAAATCAGCCTCAGTTCCTTAAAAGCAACTGGTTCTCCCTGACGCAATGACCATCCTTCATAAATATGGCCATTCCAGTAAGGCCTTAGTTGTACAACCATTTTATTAAATTATATTCTGATTAAAAGAACCTATGCAAATAACTATGTCTCTGTGTAAAGTAAGGAGAACTAAGGGTTAGTGAGAGATTTTCAAATGGTTTATTTTATTTACAAAAGCAGAGTTTATAAAATTGTAACAGTCTGTAGATAGTGCAAGAAAATAATGAAAGGCGTCATCTAATATACTTGGAACTACAACAGTTTTCCAAACAGAACCAGACTAAGACCTCTGAGTTTATGCAGTTTGTCCTATATAATAAATTCTTAAAGCTCACTGTCTCTGAAAATTCTAGAAATCCTGGCTAAGTCTATTGCTTTAGTCTGGACATTGTGAAAAAGTTTGTATTTTCTTTTTTTATTAATTTGTTTTTGTTACAGATGTTTCTCATTTTTCCCCCATTGACACTTTCCTCCTCTTCCCACTGCCCCATCCCCAGCTGTGTTGTCTATGTTTGTTGGTTATGCATACATACATGTAAGTTCTGTGGTTTATCTCTTCCCTCCCCAACCCCCCCTCCTCTGAGGCTTGTCAGTCTGCATCCCATCTCTATGTCTCTGGGTTAATTTTCTTCAGCAATTTGTTTAGTTCATTATATTCTACAAGTAAGTGACATCATGTGATATTTGTCTTTCTCTGCTTGGCTTGTTTCACTTAGCATAATACTTTCCAGGTCCTTCCATGCCATCTCAAAGGATTAGAGATTGTTCTTTCTTACAGCTGCATAATACTCCATTGTGTACATGTACCACTTTTTAATCCATTCATGTACTGATGGACATTTGGGCTGTTTCCAGATCTTAGCTATTGTATATAGTGCTGCTATGAACATAGGGGTACATATATTCTTTCTGATTGGTGGTTCGTGTTTCTTAGGGTATATTCCTAGAAGTGGGATCACTGGGTCAAATGGCAGTTCAATTTTTAACTTTTTGAGGTAACACCATAGTGTTTTCTACAGTGGCTACACCAGTTTACATTCCCACCAGCAGTGTACTAGAGTCCCCTTTTCTCCACACCCGTGCCAACAGTTGTTTGATGATTTGTTGATGGTGGCCATTCTGACAGGTATGTGGTGATACCTCATAGTTGTTTTAACTTGCATCTCTCTGATGATTAGTGACATTGATCATCTCTTCATATGTTTCTTGGCCATTTGTATGTCCTTTTTGGGGACGTTTCTATTTAGGTCCTCTGTCCATTTTTTAATTGGGTTCTTTGGCTTCCTTTTGTTCAGTTGCATGAGTACTCTATATATTTTGGAAATTAACCCCATATCTGATGCATCATTGATGATTATGGTCTCCCATATAGTGGGATCCCTTTCGATTTTGATGGTTGTTTCTTTTGCTGTGCAGAGGCTTTTAAATTTGATGTAGTCCCATGTATTCATTTTTTCCTTTGTTTCTCTTGCCTTAGTTGTTGTATCAGTGAAAATTCTGCTGTGTATGATGTCTGAGATTTTGTTGCCTGCATTTTCTTCTAGAATTTTTATGGATTCACGAGTTACATTTAAGTCTTTTATCCATTTTGAGTTTATTCTCGTGTATGGTGTAAGTTGGTGTTCTAGCTTCATTTTTTTGCAAGAAACTGTCCAGTTTTTCCAACACCATTTATTGAAGAGACTGTCATGACTCCACTGTATGCTCTTGCCATCTTTGTCAAATATTAATTGAGCATATTGTCTTGGGTCAATTTCTGGGTTCTCTATTCTGTTCCATTGATCTATCTGCCTTTTCTTGTGCCAGTACCAGACTGTTTTGATGACGGTAGCTTTGTAGTATAACCTGAAATCTGGTAATGTGATCCCTCCTACTTTATTCTTTTTTTTCAAGATTGCTGTGGTTATTCGGGGTCTTTTTTTGGTTCCATATAAACTGTTGGAGTGTTTGTTCTAGTTCTGTGAGTATGTCATCGGTATTTTCATGGGAATTGCATTCAATCTATAGATTGCTTTAGTAGTATGGACATTTTAATGATTAATTCTTTCAATCCATGAACAAGGTATACGCTTCCACTTTTTTATATCTCTATTTCTTTTTTAATGACCTGTAGTTTTCTGCGAAGAGATCCTTTACTTCTTTGGTTAAGGTTATTCCAAGGTATCTTAATTTTTCTGCTGCGATGGTAAACAAGATTTGTTTTTTTAGTTTCTCTTTCTGTGAGTTCATCATTGGTGTATAAGAGTGCCATCAATTTCTTGACATTAATTTTGTATTCTGCTATCTTGCAAAATTCATTTATTATGTCTAGTAGATTTTTGATGGAGTCTTTAGGGTTTTCTATATACAATATCATGTCATCTGCAAATAATGACAGTTTCACGTCCTTCTTTTCAATTTGGATCCCCTTTATTTTTTCTTCATGTCTGATTGCTGTGGCTAAGACTTCCAGTACTATGTTAAATAAGAGTGGTGAAAGTGGACATCCCTGTCTTGTTCCCGTTCTTAAGAGGAATGCTTTAAGTTTTTGCCCATTGAGTATGATGTTGGCTGTAGATCTTTTATAATATGGCCTTTATTATGTCGAGATATGATCCCTCTATTTCCACATTGCTGAGCGTTTTTATAACAAATGGGTGCTGGATTTGGTCGAATGCTTTTTCAGCATCTATTGATTTGATTATATAGTTTTTATCTTTCATTTTGTTTATGTGGTGTATCACATCTAATGATTTGCAAATATTGTACCATCCTTGCATGCCTAGGATGAAACTCACTTGGTAATGATGAATAATTTTTTTGATGTATTGCTGGATCCAATTTGCTAATATTTTGTTAAGGATTTTGGCATCTGTGTTCATTAGGGATTTTGGCCTAAAGTTTTCTTTCTTTGTAGTGTCTTTATTCAGTTTTGGAATTATGTTTATGCTGACCTCATAAAATGAGTTTGAAAGTGTTCCATCTTCTTGAATTTTTTGGAATAGTTTTAGAAGAATGGGTATTAGATCTTCTTTGAATGTTTGGTAAAACTCCTCCATGAAGCCATCTAGGCTTGGGCTTTTGTTTCCTGGGAGATTTTTCATTACCTCTTAATTTTTCTTATTTGTTATTGGTCTGTTCAAGTTTTCTCTCTCTTTCTGGTTCAGTTTTGGGAGGCTGTGTGTTTCTAGAAATTTGTCCATTTCTCCTAGATTGTCCACTTTCTTGGTGTATAATTGTTCATAGTATGTTTTGATGATCCTTTGTATTTCTGTGATGTCAGTTGTTACTTCTCTTTCATTTCTGATTTTGTTTATTTGGTT